AATTATCAGATTAATATGTGTAAAATTTATAAATTATGTAAAATTATAGGAAGTGTAGAGATTACAAAAATTATGCTTAGTTGAGATAGATAAGGTAAAATTAAGTAGAGGAAAGTTTTCCGATTGAGCAAAGATTATTATTAAAACATCATATTTAGAATAGTCCTTATAAAAGTTAAACGCGGTAAACAACAGTACCTGATAGCTTATCCTCTTAGTAACAGCAATTATTTCGTCACTAGCTCCTTCTATAGCAATAGATAAAGTGGAAACACCTTGGCAATAAATAACGTGGATCCGCTCTTAGAATGCCTTTCATCTTTCCCAAATATATACTGTTCAAAAAGCTTTTTGACTGCGGCCACTAAGATTCTTCGCCTGGAATTATTTATCCCGCTGTCAGGCTTCCTACATCTTGTGCAACACACGCTTATGTATGCATGCCAACATAGACAACTGTAACGGAGGCAACTCTGTTTAGAATAGGCCTTTTAAAGACCAAATGAGGAACGACTGACAATCTACTCCCCTCAGTCGCAGTTATCTAACTCGAATATCGCTCGTTTTTGCTGTTTATCTTTCTCGAAATCAGTAACATTTTTCTCATCTTTCATATCCTGTTCTATCCTCTTGTTAGCCGTTCCTCGCTTATGTCGCTTTTCAAACTAACAATTTAGGATTTCCTTACCTCCGTCAAGCTGGTATTGGCTCTGCTCAGAAGGCAGAAAGTAGGAAACGATTTGATCCCGCCCCAGTGCTATTGGGAGACACGTCTCTTCAGACAACAGCCTATCCGCAAACCCCACTACTCCAAGTGGATTCACGTAAGCCGTCTGCGGAAGAATCAACCGCTGCTCAAGAAACTGAAGATGTGGTCTCATATCCATGCTCTTACTTTTCTGCTCCTCCACTGGTCTTAGAAGCATCACATTTTCTTGTTCCTTGAGCGCATTTTCTCCATATTTCTTCGTGACCCTTTTATTATTTTTATCACTCTCAAACTCATTGTCAACTATATGCTCTTCTCCAGC